TTGAAGAGTTAGTGAAATAATATTAAAATTAATATGAAATGAAATATTCATATTTAGTATTCTATATGAAATTATAAAATTAACTTTTATTTTATTTTATTTTTTTTTATTTGTTTATTATTATTATTTTTTAATATAAGTTAAAATTAGTGCGAGAAATATTTATAATTAAAAACAAAATATTTTATATGAGTTAGAAATACAAAATATTTATTTTTTAATAATTTTACTAGTGGACTTTTGACACATATGTTATATTTGTGGAAATTAGTTGGAAAAAATGTATATGATTTTTTTTTTTTTTTTAAATTTGCGGTTATTAATAAATAAATATTGATATATATTTTGTAATAATCAGAGCTTACACAAACGATGGGATTGAGAAAGTTCTACTTATAATTTCTATTCTTGGCCTTTGCCAGTTGAGCGAACTACATAGAACCGTTAATTAGACCTTCGAAGCTGAACATCAGTTTCCATCAATTGTAAAATCTATTCAAATTTAATTACACAGGTTGTACCGAAATTTCTCATGCGTCTCTCATCTATCTGTCTGCATTCCATCTCTCCCTGATCACTGCTCACTTTGGGGCACATAATTGAAATGCGTCGCAATCAACCACCAACCGATGCATAAAATTTAAATAAATGTTTGATTTGAATTTAATTGCGAGCAGAACGAGCGGCAGCCAGATGATTGAATATATAAATCAAAACCAGCCCCAGCACATCATCAGCAGCAGTAACAGCGCCAACAACAAGAACCACAACAACTAGTCATAATGGTAGCCTATCGGTTGATCAAAGGAACTCGCTGCTAATCACACGCTGCGCCAAATAGGATCTAATTTCCACACGCTCAAACTCATTTTTTATATGCGCTGCATTCAGAAAAATAAAAATGCAGATCCAAAATGCATTTATAGAGAGATCAGAGAGAAGCATCTCAAACCCAGACTACAGCCTCCAGCCGCCAGTCTTCAGTTCCAATTGTATCTGACGGATGCATTCAAATTTTGCGCATCGCACGAAGATAAATGATCTTTTAGAAGAGAGACAGAGAGACAGAGCGAGAGAGAGAGAGGGGGAAAAGAAAACAGACAGGTAGTAGAAACAAACATGTTGTGTGAAGGGGGTTACAGGTACCTGTACAGGTAACTCGATTTGAATTTCGACAATAATTAAGCGCAACAATGGATTTATTGAGTTTTTCCCTACACGATTTCTATCCATCAAACGAAACTTCTTCAGTTGCTGTTGTCGACTCGATCTGCGGTTCGAACCCGAGCCTACAATTAGTTTGCCCACTACACAGCGGCAGCAGCAGTTGCAATTATCATAATTATTTTCATTCAAGCGGCGATCGCGAGCATCTTTTCTGCTTCTGCTTCTTCTTCATGCTGGCAGCTGCCTTGATCTTTTTTTTTTTTGTGGTTTCGTAGATCTTTAAATGAAATGTTGGTATTTCTGACGTTTTTGTTGAGTCTGACGCCGTTTCCTTTTGTCGTTCCGCATTTTCCATTTTCCATTTCCCCATAGGATGCGGATTCAAATTTAGTTTGGAGTTTCCGGCTTTAGAGCGCACTTGTTTATATATAATTGTTAGAGGGTATTCTAATTGCTTTAGTAAGTAGTTAGATAACTGATGTATCTTTATCTGCATCTGTATCTGTATCTGTATCTGCATCTGCATCTGCATCTGTATCTGTATCTGTATCTGTATCTGTATCTGTATCTGTATCTGTATCTGTATCTGTATCTGTATCTGTATCTGTATCTGTATCTGTAAATATACGAACATACTCTCTTTTTCAATGCTTGATCGAGTATATATTAAGTACGTATTAAGTGCTGTCTCTGTAGTCAGAGCGTAACAAATTGCGAGAGACAGAATTGCCAATAAATACTCGTGAAGGCGAGAGCCCAATGCTTCATTCGATGAGAGAGTTTTGTTTTGTTTTGTCTCGGGGCTGCGCTGCCTAAAGAACACTTTGTCAAGTATTTCAATTTTGGTTTCAGTATCTGTGTGCGGGCCCGCTGTGGCGCACATGTCTAGCCTTTAAAGCGTAACTCGAACACAAAAGACAAACAAATCAAAATAACAATAAAAAGAAGAAAGCAAAAAGATATCACAATTCGTATTCGGGTTGAAACTAGTTTTGATTGCTGCGGCGAGCGTCTGTTTCAGTGGGCTCCAGTTAATTAACTAAAGGTAAACATTGTAATTACTTTATAATTGAGTCCACAAAAGGTGAGAAGGTGCTTTTTGGCCAAAATAATACAAGTGACGTGCTTTGAATGTGTAAAGCACTTGGAGCTATAATAAATCTGTTGATGCATAAATCGTGCTGCTTATATTTTCCCAATATATATTTAAATTCAATAAATAACATTTTTTTAACAGTGTTTTATAGATTTTTTATTCTCGTGTTTCGGAAACAATTCAACGCTCTCAGCTATTCAGGTGAGCTGACAGGTTTTCTTTTGTTAACGTTTTGTTTACACAGCAACAGTTCTTCGAAACTTGTTGGCNGTATCTGTATCTGTATCTGTATCTGTATCTGCATCTGTATCTGTATCTGTATCTGTATCTGTATCTGTATCTGTATCTGTATCTGTATCTATATCTGTATCTGTATCTGTATCTGTATCTGTATCTGTATCTGTATCTGTATCTGTATCTGTATCTGTATCTGTATCTGTATCTGTATCTGTATCTGTATCTGTATCTGTATCTGTATCTGTATCTGTATTTGTATCTGTATCTGTATCTGTATCTGTATTTGTATCTGTATCTGTATCTTCATGTTTGTGGTATCTATATTTTTCAATGTTACCTCAACCTGTATCGTTGTTATTGCATTTCTTTAAAACCATCTGGCAACTAGGCGCCATCATTCCTCATCATTTGGTTCCCATGGCTAAGCGGACAGAAAGACACTTCGTTCGAACAACTGAGAAAGCTGAGAGCTGAGAGCTCGATGCGCCAAGTTTGGCTATTGCAGCAGGACGTCATATAGTGCTATTTGTACATGCAACTAGCTGCACATTTAAGGTAAATTATTATAGAGGTAGCAGCAGGTGGGAGGGGAGACATCTAACAGTAACGGCCGAGTTAGTAGCAGTTCATAATGCGCCATTGAGACAAATGGAAAAAAATAAAAATAAAAAAATGAGCAATAGACAAGTATAAAGATTGTGGGAGAAGTTGACTGACTAACAGATACGTTGTAGATTGATGTAAGTTTGATGAATAAAAAGTTGAAATAGATTCCGTGTTATGAATTGGGAATACAATCTAAAACTTCAATTCTCTTACATAGGTATATTTATTTTTATTGCATACATATAGTTTATAGATATATATGTAGAACAAATAATATCTAAATCCATATATACATATGAGACTTTTCCATCTATATTCTTTTCTATTAACTATCATTTATATGTTTCCATATCTATCTATATACATATTTATATTTTTAACTATTGGTTCCATAATATTTTTCATTTAGTTTCCCATCTAATTTCCGTCTACCGGTTACGAATTTACTCACAAAGGGTGATATACCTTCTCTTAAGCTGTTGGTTTAATGGGTAAAAACGCTTCGGTCAAGTTTTATTTGGTTAAATTGCTCGCAATTTCCGGTCGCGTGTTGGCTCTAACTCTTCACTTTGTCTGCTTTGCCCAATCTCTACTTATTTGTTATTTTTGTTATTTTTTTTCGGGTATTTTACAACATTGTTTTACATTAAATATTTTTCCTTTTTTTCATATAATTGGTTCACTTTAAGACGTTTGTAGGTTTTGCATGTTAGGAACGCATTTCCTATTCCAATTGTTGAGGAAATGGATTTGAATATGAAGATGAATGTGGTTTAAGAGTTTACGCTAATGAAGCTTATTTAAATAGTAAAAGAGAGGTAGATGACGAGCGCGAAAGAGAGATAGAGATAGAGACAGAGAGGGGAGTATTGGTTTTTAAATACAATTGAGGTCACGTGTGCGTGCAAAACAATTTAGAGCTCTTCAGGGTCGACAGCGAGCGAGAGAAAGAGAGAGATAGGGAGAGAGAGAGAGCAAGCTCATCTATAGGGCATTGCCGACAATTTCAATAATCGAAAGAAAACAAGATGTTTTTCCCCCCTTCAAGCAACAGGACAACTCGTTGCACCCTTTTCACTATTTTTTTTTCTTTCTCTCTACGCAGCCCCTTTTTTATGTCTTGGGTCGCGGTTAAGATGGATGAAGTGTTTGACAACCCTTTCAATCTTCATAAATGTTTGGCACTCGTGTCTGTCTGCCGGCGAGTCCTTGCCAGTCCTTTTTCGCAATATTAGCCAGCTTCTTGGTCTTGGTGTCCCTTGTGTGACATCTTTTTGGCTCTATCAAGATGATGACGTCGACCTTTTGCCTTTATATTTTTTTTCTTTGCTCCTTAAGGGTAAGGGCCCAATAAAAAAAAAATGAAATCTGTTTAAACGCATAAAAAATTGAGAAATCTCATAAGCATGCGTTTTTGGCACGAGGCATAAGGCGCGCGAGGGCCACTCGTCGAAAAGGGTTTAAGGCCATGAAAAATGGCAAACTGTTGTTGTTAGCACATTGTAAATACCTCGTTTTTCACTTAACGGCTTTTTAACTACATATGTATGTTATTTGATTGTGTCCGGCATAGCAAATAAATGGGGGAGGGGGAAGGGGAGCAACTGGTTAACTAGTAAAGCACTCGAGTTTTCAGTTGAGAGAAAATATTGATTTTGAATAAATAATATAGTTAATAATTGAAAAATTTAATAGTAAACGTTCAAATGGGCTACAAATAAATTTTAAATTTATTGAGAGTA